CTGTAATCTCTATTTTGAGTTTTAAGGGTTTGTATGGAATGTTAGCTGATTTGTAAATGAAATATTACATATTACCACTAGGGGGTAGTGTTTATATTTTTACAAATGATTAAGTTGAATTTAGTCTGGTATATTTTTACAATTTATATTTTTACACATGGTTAAGTTGAATTTAGTCTGGTAAATCACATTAGTTAAGTGTGCCTCTATTTTTAAAATCTTATTTTTATAATTTCAAACAGGCCTTCAAAAGTTTGCCTTAATGACTCAATAGAGTCATTGAATAGATTTATTTACTTTTTAAATTTAAATTCTTTTCTTTAGCCCATTATCCCTATGTTTACACAAAATATTCGAGAAGGATTTAGATCACTTGGAGGAACAAGTAAGTTCTGATTCATATGGTTTTTACTTGCAATATATACTTAAAATACTTGGACTTTTGAACCCTATAAGGAATCCTTTTGGATTAACTTTAGAAAATGGATATATTTTTTAGATTTTATTATATAAACCTAAATGATAACTGGCTCTAAGCAATGATGATTCTTAGATGTTATATTTTTGTTACATGTATATACGGTGCATGTATATATAGGAGCTTATTTGTAAGGGGCTTTTTAAAATTTCAAAACAATTTATCTAATTAATACAGTAGTATTATTATAAGAGTATTAAACCATGTTGATGAGGTTTAGAAAAAATTTTATATACTATCTTTTTAACTCATCCATGAAGAAGTTACTGGTTTTAAAAAGGATGACACTATGTGTTAAAATAAGATTAACAACCTAAGCAGGTATCATTTGTTCTGGTTTATAATGCCACTTTAAGAACAAAATATGTTTTAAATGATAATATATTTAACTGAAAGTTCTTTTATCTACCTTTAATTTACTGGTTAAAATATAAGCTTTTAATCCAGTTATAGCAGTGATAACAATTGAATATGTCTTTTCTTTGCAAATGTCTGTTTTCTTATTTTGCAGTTTTCAGTTTAACCTATATTGTGTTCAATCATTTGTTTTATATCCCTAGCACTATTGTTAGTATTTGTATACACATGAGCGAGTCCTCCTTTGAAGAGCTTTAAATTGTTCTTTAATGTCTAATGTTGCTATTTGTTCATACTCTTGTGATTTTTTAAGTCTTAATTTTCTTCTTTTTTTCAAATTTAAAGTAGAAAGGCAGATTGTTATATTTAACTTCTGTTGTAGAGTTCTTTCAAATTTTCT